GCTCTGCAATGCCACCTTTATCTCAAGTGCATGCCGATTCATGCGACAGTCTCTGCACTCTCTCCAGTTCCGCTGACCCAGCGGCCCGCCCTTGGGCCAGTAGCATGCTGTCTCCTGCCACTTCATACTGTATTTTAACACGTCACCGTGTCAGTCTTCCTGCTTCATGCTTCTTAAAAACGGTCTTGGCTATCCTCGACCCTCTATTTCCATAATGAACGATCGGCCTGTCGAGCCCCACACAGCTACCCTGCCGGGACTGAGAGCACCGCACAGGACGGGAACGGACTCGCTCACGCTGCCGAGTCTTTCGGCCCATGCGGGGACCACACGCTCCTCCAGCGGGAACTGCTTCACGACGGTCCTGCAGTCTTCGGACAGGAGTCTTGAATATCCTGTCGTCAGACACATCCCCAGGCATCCGGTGTTTTTAATGCTACTGAAAGCATCGTTTAAAAGTCCTAACGTCACAGTTAGCACGCGAATGGCGGTGGACTTCGTGTACTCGATGTCAACGACTCAAATGCTAATGCTTTAGATACAGAATCTTTGGGGTTTTCAACCAAAAACTAGATTGCCCAGGAATAATCTAATTTTAGGTTTCTCCCATACAAACATGTATAACATCTGTTTCTTTGTTCCTGTGCTGGTTAGCAGCTCTAAGGTACAATGATAAATAGAGGATTTTGGTAGATACACCCACACCCGGCTCCTGTCTTGAAAGAGAAGGCTCTCTACATTTCAGCATCAAGCACGATGTTTGTTCGGGAGACAGCTTCCCCCAGGTACTTCACGTTTCTGCACGTCTTGCTGGCAGACTGTCTTTGTTCTGGACCAACCTTTCAAGAATTAATAGCAAACAGCCTTGGAAGAGAGAGAATGTGTCTCCCTTGAGAATGAAGGGTGGGCCAACTTACTGGCCAGTAGAAGTGTCTCCCTCCACGACACAGGCATGGCAGGTTTCCCTGCAGCCCACCATCGGACATCCGGGGTCCCTAAGCGTGGGGGTCCTCTTGTAATGCAACCCACTGTACACACAGGTATTTCCCGGCCCTCACTGGATTGCCTTGTGGGAATCGAGGCTCTGGGACCTAGGCAAGCAAGTGGTATTCTGGCTACTGCTGTGTGCACAAAACTGTCCGTCTGTCCCTTGTCTAATGTCTTTTACCAGCACCAATGAGTCTGCGGGAAGGTAACTTGTTACTTGTAAAATAGCATCAAATCTTAGGTCCCAAGACTTCTCCTTGAGAAGATTTGACTGTTGATTTCTAGTTTAAGAATTCTATCAGTATGGGCGAAGAGTTTTAACTTCTCCATCTACTGAAATAATCAGGTTTTCCTCCTTCATTCTCTTCACATGGTAAATTATATTGATTTTCAAATGTAAAATAGACCTTGAATTACTGGAATAGTCATTATGGCTATAACTTATTTTTTAAAATAAGCTGTTTGTTGGGTTTATTTCCCCAATATTTTAAAGGCAACTCTGCACCCACGCTCAGGAGGCCGGCCGTCCCCACCCTGCGATGTTCCTGTGCCTGGTGCCACGCCTGTGCCGCTTTCTCCGGGAGCCTTTACGACCAGCGCATTTTGACTCTCGCCATGACTCTGCTGACGTGGATGTTCTGAGGAAGTCAGCGGTCTCCCGCTATGGGCTTCCGGTGGGTAGTGGTTGGGGTGCTGCTAAACACCTGCCGACGCACGAGACAGCCCCCAGCATAGGACTATGTGGCCAAAATGTCAATGGTACCAGGAAACTTCACGAATCACTCATGACACGTCTGATCAGTCACAGCACCTTCTGCATACACTGCACAAATCTCTTGCATTTCAGTTGCGTTTTTACCTTTCTTGAAATAATAAAGCATACTGTGCTGACAGTGTTATGTATTTTCTTCTACCTTCCGTATTATAATGGCTGCACAAAGTCAGCAATTTCGATGTTTTTTAAATGCACAATGGTATGACAGCTGTCACAACACAATCTAACAAAATTGTTTCAAATGCCCTTAAAGACAACTAAGCACTTCTAGAACCGTAATACGGAAAAAACTAAACAAATTTTTTGGCCAACCCAGTATCTCGGGTGACCTGCAGAGACCTGACTTTGTGCTGGTCTGCGCACTGTGTTCTGTGCGCTGCCCAGCACACCGATCTGGCCATTTGCACTGTTCAAACGTTCTGTATCACCACCGCTGCTTCTGTTAGTTATGTTAGAATCTCCAACTGTGATTATACACTTGCCTATTTTTCCTCTAGTTTTGGAAATATTTGTTTTATATATTTTAAAGCTGTTTTATCAGATGCATACAAATTTGGAATTATTTACTCCTAGTTAATTGAATATATCTTCTTCAGTAATTTTATTGCTTTAAAGTCTACTTTGTCTAATTTTAATATAAAATTAAATGGTTATTTTTTCCATCCTTAATTTTTTGATCTCTTGATGTTTTTTTTTTAGATGTGTCTCTACAGACACGGAAGAGTTGGATTTTAAAAACTCAATCTGACAATCTCAGTCATTTATAGATATACTTCATTCACATTTATACATAATGATTGACATAACTGGGCTTTTATCATCTTACTCAATATGTCCTGTTAGTCCTGCCTGTCCTAGGTGTCCTCTCACTCTCTTTCATCACCTAGTCCGTACGATTTCCCATTACTCCACCCCCTCCCCCACTGAAGCACTGGGATCACATTTTGAAGAACTGTGGTAAAATACACACACACTGTTGTACAGTCACCACTACCACCAATCGCCGTAACTGGGGCAACTCCCTACACCTCAACACCCACTGAACACTACCCCCTGCCCCCAGCTCCGGCACCCACGGTTCTACGTTCTGCCTCTATGGATGTGATGACTCCAGGCACCCTGTGTAACTGGGATAACTGTGTGTAACTGGAATAACGCGGTGTTTGTCCCTTTGTGATGGGTTCATTTCATTTACTATCAGGTCTTCAAGGTTCATCCATGATGTAGCACCAGAATTTCAGTTCTGTTCAAGGCCAAGCACTATTCTGTTGTCTGTATAGATCAATTTTACCCCTCCCTTCATCACTGGACACTTCCCTTGCTCCCCGCTTGCAGCTGTGAAAACCGCTACTACGAGCACAGGGGCACGGACACTTTCTTGAGCCCCAGCTCTCTCAGTTCCTCTCAGTCTGCACCTAGAAGTGGAGCTGCTGAATCGCACAGCAATTTCACGTTTAAAGCGAGGAACCGCCATACCACTTCCTGCGGTGGCTACGCTATTTCACGTTCCACCAGCAATGTGCCAAGTTTCTAGTTTCTCCACAGCCTCACCAACACTTTTTAGTTTAAAAAGTAACAGCCAGCCTAATGGGTTGAAGTGGTGTCTCAAGGCAGTTCTGATTGTATGTGACTAGTGATGAATACATTCGTGTATTTACTGGTCACTTGTTCATCTTCTTTGGAAAAGTATCTATTTAAATCCTTTGCCCATTTCTTCTTTGAAGATTTTATTTGTTTTAGACGGGACAAGAGGGAGAAAGAGAGAAAAACATCAGTGTGTGGCTGCCTCTCACACGCCCCCTACTGGGGACCTGGCCCGAAACCCAGGCACGGGCCCTGACTGGGAATCAAACCGGCGACCCTGTAAGTTCACGGGCCTGTGCACAATCCACTCAGCCACGCCAGCCAAGGCCCTTTGCCCATTTTTAATTGGGTTGTTTTTGTGAAGTTGTAGGTTATTTCTTTATGTATTCCGGATACACCTACCGTATCAGGTAGATGATTGACATTTTCTTCCAAACTGCGGGCTGCTTCCTCACTCTGTTGAAACTGTTCTTGGATGCACAATTCTGATGAAGTCAGATTTATCTGTCTTTTCTCTTGTCTGTTTTTGTGTCATATCCAAGAAATAACTGCCAAATTCAGTGTTGTGGGGTGTTTCCTCTATGTTTTCTTCTAAGAATTTTATAGTTTTACCTCTTATTTTTATGTCTTGATCCATTTTGAATTAGTTTTGCATATGAGATAAGGAAAGGGGCCAACTTCATCTTTTCATATGCTTTTCAGACTGTTCTTTTAAAGCAATCCTCCCAAAGACAACGCGCACCGTCTACCTCCGCTGTGCTGCCGACCAGTACGTGTGTGGACAGGGAGCTACCGCGGAAGCCCGGAGACTGCTGTCCTCAGAAAGACCTGCCTGCAAGGCGGGCCCTTGGCTGGGGTCCTGGGAGGGTGCCAACCGGACCCAGGAGCGGCTCGCTGTGCCAACACCGTGTAAGCAGCGTGGTCTACGCTGAACAGTCGCCGTCCTCCTCAGAGTCTGGAATCGTGGTACGTGCTAAGCAGGGGCTACCGGCCTGGCCAGCCCCCGGTGAGGACAGGCAGTCAGTCTCTAACGGGCTTCCCCGATGGACATCCCCTGTGTGCGCCCGAACTCACTGCCAGGGGGACGGCACATCCGGTGTGACCCCACCGGGCGGGGACTCTTGGGAGCTTGTGCTGGGTCCTCCGGACAGCACCCCGTGAGCCCTTCTTTTGCTCATTTAGCTTGCACCCTCTCACCGCCTTAAATCCTGGCCGTGGTTATCACCACATCCTGAGTAACGTGAGTCCCCACGGAATCACTGAGCTTCGAGGGGTGGGCCGGGGACCTCCCGACAGCCATGTGAGTGGGCCACCTCAGAAGCAGACCCTGCCGTCTCAGTCCGCCGGCGGCCAGAGCCTCGGCCAGCATCTGGACTGCAACCCCGGGAGAGTCCCTCGGCTGACGCCACCCAGCTCAGCCGCTTTTGGATCCTGATGTGCGAGCTATGAGATGATAAACGTCATTCAGCTCAGTTAATTTGGGGGCAACTCATTTTGCATTAATGACCTAATACAGTATGTTTCTGTAATTTTATATTATTTAAAATTTAACATTCTCTTTATTTGGAAAAATAAAATCAATACCCTAAAATTTTTTAGTAGTAGCTAAATACAGAAGACATGATTGACTTACCGCTTACTGGCTCATCTGTTCCTAACTGGAAGTAGAGTTTTTCAACACAGATGAAGTCATCTCCACAATGGTGTTAATAGACAAGCCATTCAGAAACCCTTTGTGACTCATCCTCACTGCCTGAAGGGCATCTACGATGCGGTCTCTGTGCAGAAGGAAACACACATGAGCAGCCCCCCCACAGCCTGCGCGCGCTCCAAATACGGCCGCAGCCGTGAACTGAGCTGCGTCCCACACGCACTTCCCCATCGGCTTAAAACACAGCCGCGGCCGGCACCTGCAGACGTCGGGGTGCAGCTCAGCGAGTCTCCTCATGATCTTGGTGAAGCTGCGCAGGTTCAGCGTGTTTGGAGGCGTGAATCGCAAAGGTGTGTCAGGTAACGGTTTAGTAGATTCAGTCTGTTTACAATTCTTCTTCTTGACACCCTAAATAGAGCATTTAGAAAGTTTTCTTTTTCTGAAGATTTTTACTTATTTTATTTTTAGACAGAGGAGAAGGGAGGGGCAGAGGGAAACATCAATGTGTGGTTGCTTCTCACATGCCCCTACCGGGGACCCGGCCCGAAACCCAGGCGTGTGCCCTGACCGGGAGTGGAACTGTCACTCTGGTTTGCAGGCCTGCGCTCAGTCCATGGAGTCACACCAGCCAGGAAGTTTTCTTAAAATCAATAATCATTACATAGAGACAATCCAGCTTATCCAGTTAAAATAAATTTTAAATTACAATTATAATAGTAAAATTTTAACAGTAATTGATAATAAAAATCACACATTGTGAAATCAAAATTCCTAGGCCTTTATTTAGATTTTGGATTGTGTGTACCAGCAGAGTTCCCTGAGTCGTGCTCGGGGCCACGCACTAAAGAACGGCAAACATGCCTCCTCCCAGCAGTGGTCAAGTGTCTGCAGCTACTATGTCTGAGCCAGTCTTTCTCGACCGGGACTCCTCATCTGAGCCACGGAACACAGACCTATTTTCTCGGGTTTCCCAGAGACAGGACACAACTGGTTCCTACAGACAGGGAAGAGGCCAGTCCGTTATTTACAGCAGGTACCTTAGGCTGAGGGCACGGAAGCTTAATTCTCTTACCCAGCGTGACAGAGAACCACTGGTTTACATGGTTGTTATAAATGTTCTACATCTTATTACTAAATAAGTTCTGAACACAAACTATATGTCTAGGACTGTACCCCATGTGTGGTGGGGGCGGCAAGGAACAAAACTAGTGATATAAAACAGAACCCTCTCCACTTATGGATCCTATACTCCAACTGAAAAGACAAAATTTAAAAACTCAATGAATGCCTATTAACCAGGCAAGTGGGCTGCACACCGAATGACAGCACCGCAAGTCCCGTGAAACAGGACGTCAGGCTCATGTTCCCCGGGGGCCACATCACCCCGCGGTGGCCTTCCAAGGGCCGAACGCAATTTCAACCCCTTAGCAGTTAAGGAGTAGTTCCATTTATATAGTCCCAAAATTATCTCGGCCCCTTGAAGGCCACCACGAGGCTGACGTGGCCCCCGGTGAACATGAGTTTGTCACCCTGCCATGAAAGTTCAACAAAGGAAGAACAAGACTTGAAGCCCAGGTGAAAAACCCAGACAAGACACATGAAATATTAAACCTGTCACGTCAGAATGTTACATACTTCACTTACTTTATCTCCTTCACCAGATGTACGCTCTGCGAGAACACAGATTCTCGTCCGTTCCGGTCATTACTGCTTTCCCAACCAGTGCCTACAGCAGTGTTCACAGTTGGTATGTTATAATGGTTTGTTAAATAAATAGATGTTCGGGATGTGGCAGTTCAGGTGACAGCTGAGCCAGAGCGGACGGCATTCCCATGAGAGCGCCAGGTGACTGGTAAACAGCAACGGCTACCATGTGCTCCGTGCACGCGCCACGCCGCACACAGTTCTGGAACCGCACAGCGTCTGTGAAGGGGACCCGCTGCCCCACAGTGAGAACAGGAAGCTCAGGTTCACAGTCCACGCAACTTGCTCAATCGTATGAGGAGGGGCAGGGCCTGGTTAGGAACGTGTTATTCTTAACCATCACCATCTGCCTCTTACTGCAGACAATATTTTCTACACGAATAAATGCAATGAATAAATGCAGAGAACCCGAGAAAAAGGTGACAACAAATCGCTACAAAAAGCTGAGAGGACTTGGGAGAGCAATGTAATAGGCTAGCAGGGAACGGGACCCTCCCTGCCCGTGTCCTCCAGGATGACGCACTGCTGCCCGGCCCAGGGCGCCCCACTTACACGCACCACACCACCTCTGCCGACCCCACGGCCCCCACGGCCCCAGCGGGCTGGGGCGAGAGCGTGTCACCTGAACCCACAAACACCAGCATCACGGGCTGGTCAATCGAGTCCTGACTCAAGAATGAGGAACGGAAACACAGAGCAAATGAGCTGGTAAATGAAAGAAGTGTGAAGGGAAAAATACTGCAGAGTTAAACTTCAGCAAAACAAAGCCGAACGGAGGAAAAGTCACGAGCAGACAGAGGCCCTGGGTGTGGCGAGAGCAGCAGAACGGCGTGCAGGGCGCTGCGGAGGCAAGAAACCCCGCGAGCGAGGAGGGAGCAGCCGTGGTGCCCGGCCTCCAGTCGGGCCCCCGGGAGCCCGGCTGCACGCGGCCTCCTCCCGTCCTGCTGCGGACCGAGGCCACACACCCAGCCTCACCTCGCACACGAGTGTCACTGAGGGAACGAGTCTCAAAACAGGCCGATCCGGTCTCGGGCCTGAAGGTCAAAAAGCAGGTCAGTGGGGTAAAGGCCAATAAAAAAGTCACTAGTGACAATGAAAAAAGCGGCTAAAATAAAATTCTGGGGACTCAAATCTGGGCAAGCCTGGCAGTGAAACACGGGACAAGAAGGAGCGGCGACCTCAGGAGAAGGAGACGTGAAAACCTGCCGGGAGGGGAAGGGCGGGCGGAAGTCTGCCCGGGGAGCGGGGTCACCGACAGTGCAGGGGGGGGGTGACTGGCAGACGGGGCTGCGGGAGGACGGGCTGGAGGGCTCCGTCAGGAGGGAAGTCAGAAGTCAGGAGGGGGCCCCCCTTTGTCTTACCAACAAACATTTCCTTCATCCATTTATTAGGGAGGGATTTGCTCTGATCGAAGATTAAAAATAACCCCAGTAAAAATCAAAGTAGAGTTTTTGGTAGATATTGGCAAGTTGAATTATAAACTTTATACAGAGAGAGAGAGAGACCTGAAGAGCCGAAACAATTTTGAACTAGAACAAAGCTGGAAGACTCACTCTGCCTGCTTTCAAGGCTCACTGTGAAGCTGCAATCTCGACGGCGCGGTCCTGGAGGGAAGAGAGACAGACAGACTGACGGAAGACAGCAGACAAGTCTGTAAACGGGCCCACAGAGAGCCGACTGATTTTTGAGGAAGTACAAAGATAATCCGTCTTTCCACAATGACGCTGGAACAATTCCCCATGTAAAACACACACACACACACACGAACAAATGACCTCTGGTCACACCTCACACATCGCATAAAAACGCACTCAAAATCTTTGTGATTGTGGGTTTCTTAGATACACCACTAAAAGCACAAGTTAAAAAAAAACAACTGACAAATGGTACTTCATCAAAATTAAGAACTCCTGGTCTGATAAAGACACTATTGAACAAATGAAAACCAAAGTACAGGCCGGTAACAAGCATTTGTACGTCACATATCCATCTTGAAAAGGATTTACATGCAGAATAGAAAAAACCTCAAAACCCTGTACTAAGAAACCCAATAAACACGGTCAGAATAGGAACAGGAATGGACTGCTGAGACAACACGCACCGATCTCACCGGACTAACGAGGCTCCGTCGCATGCCACGTACGGGACGTGACAGGAAAGGTGAAAACGTAGGAGCAGGAACCGGCAGAGCACAAGACCGTGTTCTGGAAGGGACTTTCTGTCCCTTTACTGGGGGTTACATGTCTACACGTATTTGTGTAAACACATACACCAAAAAAGTGAATTTTACTGTATGTAAAATTAAAAAAAAAAAAGGATGGAATGCCTGTGTGACACCAGGCATTTTGCTCAAGTCAGAGGGGGCAAAACAAGGCGATCAAGACACTGGAGACAAGTGATGCGTCTGGGGAGAGCAGGGCGAGCGAGGCCGCTCCAGTGCTCGCCTGCGCGCGCGGCCGGGGCACGTGCAGTGCGGGGACCGTGCCCTGCGCACAGCTCTGGGAGAGGGTCAGCCGCGACAAGGAGGACGCCGCGGTGCGGCCCACGAACGCAGGGGCACAGAAACTGCACAGCGCTGGCGGAGCGCCTCCTTAAAGGGAGACGGGTTTCTCCGCAGCCGGGTCTGCAAAGATCCACACTGTCCCCCAGGGGACCCGGAGCTGCACACACAGCACGGCAGGGTGGGTCCACGGCTGAAACCCGCTCCGATGAACGTTCTCGCTCCCACCCAAAGAGCCCTGATTCTCCTGTCATTGCTGTACAAAGCTACTGACTGCAATACGGCACCCACTGGGACCAGTTAGGGGGGTCTGCCAAGAAAACCAACCTGGTCGAAATGGAAAGATTCACTGTCTTCCTCAGACCCCAGCTGCCGTGGCCTGGTTCTGGGCAATCTAGAAATACAGGAAGCTGAGTTGATTTCTTTGTTGATGCTTTTCTCCAAATTATTCAAACTAATTCTCCTTCCATTTTTGGAGGAAAGTGGTGATACATATTCTCCAGGACTTTTAACCAGTCGCACGTTTACTGGTTTGCCATTTATTTCCATCCCATTCATTTCATTCACAGCAGACTTGGCGTCATTGTTTCTTTTAAAAGCAAGAGACGCGTATCTAGAATATAAAAGCAGAAAAAAGCATGTGATCTTAAAATACCTACTTTTAATAAATTTCAACCCAAACTACAAATAGGATCCTTTCTTAATTGGTACAGTTTTAATGTGTGAAATACACAGCTATCATTTTTAGTGATAAAAGGGTAAAGGTAACTTCCGGCCAAGATGGAGGCGTAGGTAGAAACCATTTGCTTCCTTGTACAACCAAAAGGAGGATGACAGCCAATCCAAAATCAACAAACAACCAGAAGTGCCAGAAAACCAAACTGCATGGAACTCCGACAACCAAGGAATTAAAGAAACAGCCGACCAGACCAACCAGACCACTGAGACGGGCGGACGGAGAGAACCCGTGGAAAGGCGGTCTACCGTGCTGATGGAGATGGCTGAACGGGAGACTGAGGCTCAGAGCGCACAGTGTGCACTACGGCGGGGTTGCTGCGGTGGGAGAAACTCATCTCACACGAGAGTCCGCTGGAAAGTGGGCCAGAGCCGAGTGGGGAGCCCCACTGTTCCCTCCCCGAACCCTCCTCCCAGGCAGCACCCAGAGCAGCAGCAGGGAGGGCGGCCCCCCCCTGGTGACTACCTAAGGCTCCGCCCCCTTACAACCTAACAGGTGCCCCCGGACAAAGAAATATGGTCCAAATGAAAGAACAGAGCAAAACTCCAGAAAGAGAGCTAGGCAATGAGAAGACAGCCAACCTATCCGATGGAGTTTAAAGCTCTGGTAATCAAAATGCTCACAGAACTGATTGAGCTTGGTCACAAAATGAAAGAACAAATGAAAGACACCCAAAATGAAATAAAGCAAAATGTTCAGGGGACCAACAGTGACAGGAAGGAAACCAGGACTCGAAGCAATGATTTGGAACAAAAGGAAGAAATAAACATCCAACCAGAACAGAATGGAGCAACAAGAATCCAGAAGAATGAAGAGAGGCGGAGGAATCTCTGGACAACCTGAAACAGTCCAACATCCGAATCCTAGGGGGTGCCAGAAGGAGAACAGCAGCAAGACATTGAAATCTTATTTGAACAAATAATGAAGGAGAACTTCCCCAATCTGGCAAAGGAAACAGACTTCCAGGAAGTCCAAGAAGCACAGAGAGTCCCAAAGCAGCTGGACCCAAGGAGGAACACACCAAGGCACCTCATCGTTACATTAGCCAAGATTAAAGTGAAGGAGAGAATCCTAGAAGCAGCAAGAGAAAAGGAGACAGTTACTTACAAAGGAGTGCCCATAAGATTGTCAGCTGATTTCTCAAAAGAGACCTTACAGGCAATAAGGGGCTAGAGAAAGAAGTATTCCAAGTTATGAAAGGCAAGGACCTACATCCTAGATGACTCTGTCCAGCAAAGTTTTCATTTAGAATGGAAGGGCAGATAAAGTGCTTCCCAGATAAGGTCAAGTTAAAGGAGTTCGTCATCACCAAGCCCTTATTCTATGAAATGTTAAAGGGACTTATCTAAGAAAAAGATGAAAAATACAAACAATAAAATGACAACAAACTCACAACTATCAACAACTGAACCTAAAAAGAAAAAGACAAACAGTGAAAAGGAAAACTAAGCAAACAACTAGAATGGGAACAGAATTAGAGAAATGGAGATCACAGGGAGGGAGTTCAGTTGGGGAGGGGGGAGGGAGGAAGGGGGGGAAGGTACAGGGAAGCAGCAGCATAATTGGCGGCATAAAATAGACGGGGAGAGGTCAAAGATGGTGTAGGAAACAGAGGACTCAAACTTATACGTACAACCCATGGACAGGAACTAAGGTGGGGAATGCTGGAGGGTGGGGGGGGGTGCAGGGCGGAGGGGCGATAAAGGGGGATAAATTGGGAAAACTGTAATAGCCTAGTCAATAAAATGTATTTTAAAAAACAGTAAAGGTTTTTCCACTGAACCCTTGCCACTGTTATCCGATACTTCTGAATGCTCTGGCCATGTGGCCAACAGAAACCAGCAGCATCCACATGACTGTGCGCTGCTGACACAGCTCACGACCTGGGACGGAGCACGGGAGCACGACTGAGAAGTGACGATAATCCAGACCCAGCAGCACAACTCCTGGGGCACCCGCTCCGAGCCGGGCTCCACGCCCACCGCTGTGCTTGTTGAACTGACCCCAGTCTCAGAGCGCTGCTATGACAGCACAGGTGTTACTACCCTTACTTTCTAGACAAAGAGCCTGCAGTCCAGAAGGACGAAGTAACTTGCCCAAAGTTACCCAGCAAGCACGAGAGCTGGGAACTCTGCAGGCCGTACAGCTGCAGAGCCCGTTCTCTCAACAGCGCCCCGCACCGCCACCACCACGCACGGTCGAGGGCACACGCACCGGCAGCTGTGCTGTGCGCCCGGAGCACCACGGTGAGCAGCACAGTGAGAGAGAGACTGGGCGAGGGACAGTGGCCGTTGTCCAGGTGTGGCCCTCCACTGGACAGGGAGAGCTCTCCTGGAGTGGCCCTGACTCAATCAGCACTTGGTTCACGTCTAATACTGCACCTCTGGCACACAGCAGACACCCAGGAAATGCACACCTTTTTTTCTTAAAAAGGATTTTATTTATTTATTTTTAGAGAGGGGAAGGGAGAGAGAAAGAGAGGAAGAGAAGCATCAACATGTGGTTGCCTCTCACACAGCCCCTCACTGGGGACCTGGCCTACAACCCAGGCGTGTGCCCTGACTGGGCATGGACTGGGCAACCCTTTGTTCCAGAGGCCGGTCTCAGTCTACTGAGTCTACTGAGCTGCACCAGCCGGGGCTGACATGCATACTTACTGAATTTAGAAAACAAACCTGTAATTAGAAGAATCGTAAATGGAAATCTCAGAAAGTTGGTATTTCTGGAAATGATACCTTAAATCAGCCTAAAAGAAGAGAAATAAAAGTTTGTGAAAGGTAGAAAGCAATAATCAAAATATAAATAAATACCTAATAGATCTAAAAATGAAGCTCCGAAAATAAATCCTGGCCTACCTCAGACACTGAAGGGCAGAGACCACCCACATGTACCAAGTAACTCTTCTCTCTTTGTAAGGGGTCAACATTCTTGATTTCTGCTTGCAGGGAAATATAATAAACAACAGAAGATAACCATTGTTATATTGATATATTTTTAAATGTGAAAGCTGTTAAATATTTTTATGATCATAAAGCTTACTATAAAGTCACGAGCAAATACCAGCACTAGACTGAAGACCAAGAGCCTGGAGTATACTTTTAGGATTTCTGGGCCTTAAAAACATCTTAAAAATAAAGGTGGACTGGTTGGCATCAAGCCCCCCGTAGCTCAGAAGTGGACCGCTGTCCAAACAGAGCCATCCAGCGCATCCTGACTGAGCCGGTGCCCTCGCCCTTCTCGGTCCAGAGAAGGTCTGAGATGCCGACCACACACAGCACCCCGACCCACCCCGCCAATGCTGGCTGGGGTGCTTTCTGTACGTGCTCTGCTGGGGAGAACCGCACCCCAAAACCTCTGTGACAGGCAAGTATCGACAGCAGGTGGACGGCAGTGGCACCGAAGAACACGGGGGAGGGGTGAGACCCTGACTCAGATCACAGTGCGTTTTCGGGCTGCGGTCTGAGGAGTCTGGTCTGCAATGAAAGGAGTCACTGTGGCAGCCTGCGCCTGCCACAGACGCAGGGCGGGCACACTGTCAGCGGGTGTGGAAGGAATTCTCACAGTGGCTCACGTCTGTGGTCTGACAATCCTTGTGGAAGAGGGACAATCCCAAGTTTTATTTCCCTCACCGCATAACAACAATCTAACGCTCACTGGGTGCTTCCCACACTCCAGGCACCGGGCCGAGCACTTCCTACGCATCATCCCACATGACGCGCACAGCCGCCCTGTGAGGTGCAGCTGTCACCGCCTCCGCTTCCCAGATGAGCGTCCTGAGGTCTCGGGAGCTGAGGTCACAGGTCTAGTCAGCGGGGGTGCTAGAAAATTCAGACAGAACCCTTTGTTTCCAGGAGGCTGCCCCCACCTCCGTCGTTAACTGACTCGGCTCGAGGGTGTCTGGGGCTCACGGGGTGCCGGGGGAGGAAACGGCCCGCAGCAGGGCGAGCAGGGAGCCAGCGGCCACGGCACAGCGGGAAGGGAAGTGAGCCGGGGTCCGGGGGTGGACACGGCGCCCACGGCCTCAGCCCAGACCAGTTCAATACGAGGCTGTGTACCCAGCACCGCGTGGGCCGAGGGCTGTGCCTGGTGCCCAGGAGGGGCAGCCAACAAAGCACAGAAACATCCCTGACCTCGCTGACTAATGCATACGCGAGTGTGGGACGGCAGTCAGTACCAAGTGAGTAAAATGCACGGCATGTGCTCGGGGACACGGAGAAAAATGCGAGGAGGAGGAGTAGTCACAACAAAACGTGATGCTGCGATGCCACCCTAAACTGTACTCGTGTATTAAGGATGGTAAAGGCTATTAATAGTGGTCCTTGTAGGCTGGACACACGTCAGGTAATTTTAATTTTCTTGTACTTTTATATTTTATTTAAAAACCCTAATAAGCATTATTTATACAAACAGGAAAAATGAAACCCCTGTTGTTATGTGAAATAAAAACGCACCCAAGCAAACAGGGAAACCCAGGCAGGAGCCTGGCACCAGAAACGACGGACAGGCAGTGACTGCAGCGCCAGAGGGAGCCCCAGCACCACAGGTGGCGCGGACTGCGTGCCCGTGAGACCCCTCCTGAAGCGGAGGGAACGCGGGCAGGGAGACGGGCAGTCCTGGCGGCCCGGCCGCCCGCCCGCCAGGACGGGGCGGAGTGCCGCCCTCGCACACGCCGCAGAGCTGAGGGCAAGAGGGCCCTGACCCAGGCCTGGTGGCCCCGAGCACGGGAGAGGGTGCTGGGCCTCGACCTCCTAACTAAATCTCGGATTTATGCTCTCAGCAGACAGCTTTCTGAGAGAGAAATGAACATTTTAAATTGATTTTAAAAACTGACCTCCAAATGGCCAGCTTTCTGATTTTCTACGCTTACAAAGAAAAGCCATCAACGGCAATCAAGCACTACAACAGCCCGGCCGCCCCAGCACCCGAGGACACAGGAAGCACTGTCTGGAAATGAGTGAGGCCGGGACCCACCGGGCGCGCACCCCAGGCCCCGTCCGTCCTGCCCCGGCCAGCTGTCTCCCGGGCAGTCGGCTCCCGCCAGGCTCTCCTTAGCATCGAACCAGTCCTCGCTCACGTCTGGGTGGTTTCTGCAATCTGAAAATTGAACACGAATAGCTATGAACTCTGTACATCTACCCTGTGAGAAGTTACCCGAAAGCTTCTCAGAATGAATCGGCATAGTGACAATGACTCATTGCATGTATACATGTACAAGTAAGAACTAGCAAAACAGGAGCACCGAGCGCCAGGACCCTGAGAGGGGTTTCCGGCAGCCGAGGAGCCAAGACGGCTCTTCCGCCTGAGCGGCCCGCTTCCCAGAGTCCCTTTCGCGGATGCTGGTGCCCAGCGGTGCCGTCTGCCCCGGAGCTGCCCGCCGCCAGAGACGCCGGCGCTGTCTTCCCACACAGACCACCTGCACACGGCTTTGAGAGGCCTGGTCAAGCAGCACTGCAGCTTTTTATGTCTTAAAAGTTTCTTTGTGATCTTTTTGGAACGATCACAATCTTGTTTCACACCCCTTTTCACAGAGGACAAAATAAAATATTACAATTTACGGAGTTACAAATTGGACAGCAGAATTTTCAGACTGGACAGGATGAACCAGAAGAGTAAATGTCTGTATTGTTATTTGGCATCATCAGATAGAGTATTAGGTAGCCTTAAAAATGTCAACTACATGGTAAAAAGGGTATTTTTATCATTTATAATCAGAATGATGCCATTCAATTAAACATATTTATTTTAACATAATGAATAAGCACCAGAGATATTTTAAACCTTACTGCTTTATGGAAATGACATAAGACAACATATTTTCACCCTGACCTTTGTCATCAAGTTTCAGTTGACTGAAGTATCCATCTATATCGCCATTTTTCAAACCGTCTTCCTTGGGCGAGGTGCCTTCATTAGGGTGACTGTTATCAGACAACAGAGGCACCTGGGGATTGAAATAAGAACAGTGGCCACGACTAAGGACTAGCCACTGCGGTGCTCCTCCGTGGCGGCGCTCCTCGCCGCATCGGCCCCGCCCCAGTGAAGGCTCGGGGCCCAGCCGTCCTCCGAGTCACCGGGGAGCGCCTCACCGCCGTGTCTGCCCACCGCCAGCCAGAGCCAGGGCTCCAAGGGACCCGGTCTGCGTACAGCGACGGGACGCCGCCCCCGCTCCCGTCACTCAGCCGCGTGTGGCACGCACACTAGACGCAGTTCAGATGATTTTCGGACGTAACATCTAAGTATTTCTCCTTTTAACGTTTACTAGTCATGTGGTTAATGTGGCTTCTGCGTCTCTTATATACACGGGAAGTAATACTACATTTCCAAGTGTAATAGTAAATAAGCTGCTCTTTACACGTAAGTTCATTTAAAAAGGAGATTGTTTAAAGAATACAAAGCAGGTAACACATGGCTATGAAAACGGTGACAACGGCATGTAAGTAACAAAAATTAAGACACACTATACTATATACTACACTGGCTTTCACGCATAACCTGTTGATGAGACAGGTTATTAAAATAAAATCCCAATTTAAAATACTGTCTTATAGTCAAAATTTAGATGATAAATTATGTATATCTACATCTTGTACTCTTAAAAATAAGCAGGTTGTATCACTGCTACCGTCACAATGAGCAAACACCAACTCTCTAGAACATTAACGCCAACTGTGTAAGAAATGTGAGGATATCAGTATCTGTTTTTAGATCTGTTGACTCTTTGTGCATAATGGAGATGAGTAGAACGATGGAATATAAACAGCTAGAGTAATTTACTTTTAATCATTTGTTAATATTATAAAGGAATATAAATCAATCAAGCATTTCGCTTTTGTCCTCAGAATGCATCTAAGTACGTAAGACTACCCAAAAAATATAAGCTCAGAGTGAAACTAGAGTCAGGAAGTAGAAATAAACTCTGGCTGCCCTGCTCCACCGCCTCACGTGATAATGAAATGTAATGTATGACTCGATGTCACTTCACAATCTGCAGAGTGACAAACGTCCCAGACCCCGAGAGGTCAAGAAACCCTCTGTTCCTTCCCATCAGCTGCGGCCCGGCCCTCCGACAGGCGCACACAGAGCAAGCCAGCTGAGTGCAAGCAAGGGTGTGAGAACTTCTGCAGATCACAGCTTCCTTCGCATGGGCCATAAAATCAGAGATCCTACACTGATGAACTACGGAAGAAACTCACTTGAGAGAGCGTCCTTTTTAGGCTTGAGGAAACGTCAACATCACATACTATCTGATTATCTAGTTCGGAATCTGCTCCTGAAAAGCTAAACAGATAAACATTTCATTAAAGATTCTGTCAATTTTCTAAATAAGGACCAAACCAGAAATTTTAAAATTAACTAAATTAAGCAATTTTTAAGATCAAATGAAGCCTAAATTAGATGAAACCATAACTTACACATGTGATTCTTTTTTCATGAGCTGGAAAGACAGAAAAAGGGAAAAAATCATTTAGTTTAAAGTGTTTTGTTTGACTACAGTAAAAATTTCATTTCTAAAACGCAGACACGTGCCCTGGCAGCGAAGGTGGAGAAGGCAGACAACAGCTTCGACTCCACGGACAGCGGGGGCAGCTCCTCCAGGGGCACGCCCTTGTTTATCTTCTCTTTCAGGCTCACGTACTTCACCCTCAGGTCCCCCAGCACAGACAGCAGCGCCGACCCCAGCTCCTTGTTCACGGAGCTGGCCGGTAAATCCCTGTTCAAAAGTTCACAAAACTGATTTACGCTGAAGTTATGCATTTAACACTAATACTGGATTATATACTTGGTCCTATCAAATCTTTAAACTTTTTCCTTTTAAATACTCAGTGAAAGAAAATGAACCACAGAAAATATGTTTTTCTAGAAGCAGTACCAGCAACCCTCAGTACATAAGCCAGAGAGAATGTGATGGATGTCATGTGAAACCCTGCAACTGACTGCATCTGAACTTGGACTTGGTAAGAAACATCAAATTTATCTTTTTACTGGATTCATCATCCCAACATACACTGTTGTCTCTCCATGAGATTCTAATGTATTACTTTTTAAAATCTAGTTACAATCTACCCCTCGTCTTGCCCTTCAGAAATGAAAACACATTTTCTAGAGCAAGTGTAAAACCAGCGGCACGTTCCCGAGGTGACAGAGGTTTGAAGTCAGCCGTCACCTGCTGAGCCCTTCCCTGTCCTCCGTCACGAGCCTGTAGATTTCACTGCAGTGGCCATGACACAGCTGGTAGTGGACGTTTAAAAGCTGCAACTCTGCTTTGACGGCTCTCTGCATTATTTTCTGACAGCACTTTGACGGCAAATTCTTCTCCCTGTCTTTAGAAAGTTGAGGTTCCCTTTAAAATAAAAGAGTAAGTTTGGTTAAGACACCAAGTATTTTTGTGTTACTGATGTACCTCAAAAAACAGTCTTAAGTTTCTTCCCCTTACTTGTTGGGCTAAAACCTACTTTTACTAAACATGGAAGGGGTGTAGGAACACATCACAGTCCCAGAAAACAAGGATAGTAAGGGTCAAAGTTAATATAGTCCTTTCAGACCTCAAGGAAGTAAACGATTCTCGAATTCATACTTTCTTTTATGAAAAAGGGATTCCAAAGTCAAGTACTGACTTCACCCAGAATCAATAGGTTTTCAACCTAAATCAAGCTCTGTCCAACATTTTTAAAGGTTATGAGCATTCTGGATGGAACTGTTCTTAAATGTGTTTTATTTTTAAATAGCAAAGAGATACAACACACATTTTTCTTAATAATCAAGGGTCATTATCATAAGCAAACATTTTGCTGTTAGTCTGTCAAAAAGGCCCAAATCTCTACATTTCCTGAACACTAACAGTTCTTGCTACTAGTTGCCACGGTTCACTGTTCTCAATACTTCTGTGCAGCAAAGCAACCCTTAACCTTGTAGGACTGAATACCCAACCAAACTCAGAAGAAAGGAGGACAAATGATGGAAGAAGGAAATGCCTCAGAGCATGACCCTAATTGGGCTTCTCAGAGGCTTCCCCTTCCCCCTCCCCTGTCCACCTCCCGACTCCCCTTTGTCTTGTCAATTATAAGGGTATCTATCGAGTGCAAAGTAAATTATACAATAAATTAAAATCAAGATTAAAGTATCCCAGTGAAAGTGGCTATTTACTTCTTCATATACATGCCATTTTCCAAAAGTGCTATTTTGTTTTGGTCTACAGGGGATCAAATGAAAGAAAACTGGGTAACTCAATCACTCTGGACTTGGGCTGAATAAAGACGCCATGAGTTTCTCAAGGAATTACTGAGACTGGAATCTCAGTGAGTGAAAAAGCGTTACCGCTCTCTATCACCCTGATATTTGTTTTGTTTGAAGGCAAATCACTGAAGCAGACGATCTCTTAAGGTCCCTGCTTTAAGTTTAAGCTACTATTCTATGTGGCTACGTACCCTACAAAAAGTCTAATTTTCCCCCATGTGTATCTGCAAGCTTACGTATCTAATTTACCTCTCAGGATGTTTCTTTAATTCTGTAATAGCAAGTGTTTTTCTTAATTCCAGGGAATCCTGCAAACGTGATTTAAAATCCGATTAGAAACATATGCCCAACACCACACACTCCACCTGGGCCTCCGACCTGGCAGGATGGGAAGCCCAGGTCCCAGCGGACCTGGTGGCAACAGCGGCCACCAGGAAAGGACAGGGCTGGCACAGCCTATGTGCCTTTCCCCTCCCCCCGGCACTTTCTCACAAGTGTCTCAGGAACCCCTGCTAGAATCCGACTTACATTAACATACACTGCCCCTTTATAAAGTCAAATAAAATTCTATTATGAATTGTGCTGGTTTTACCTTATTTAGAAAATTTCCACTGGGCTTTACACTGTCAACCGAGAAGGCTTTTCCCAGGGGCCCTTTTGTCACGGCCACCTGTGTGTCCTCGCTGCCCGGACAGTAGGACCAGTCTGTGTTGCAGGCCACGCTTCGGTGCCTCCCCTTCTGACACTCGCCGGGGCGCCTCTTGTTCATCATCGTTATGTCCGTGTTGCTGGACGTGGACACCACGGGAGGCCTGGCCGTCGTCGCGCGGCTGGTCGTGAAGCAGGCCCTGAAGTCGCAGCTCACGTCCACTGTCTGGTTGACGGTGAGAGTGCGCCGCAGCGACCCCGTCACGGGGTCGGGGCGCGCTCCTTCCACACCGAGGAAGGACGCCTGGCCGGCAGCACCTTCTAGGGAGCCGTCGTCTTCTGCGCCCCGAGCACCTGTGCCCCCAGTCCTGGGCGGCGGGGGAGGAGAACCCGGGGCTGAGTGCGGAGTGTCTGGCAGGCTCACGTAGGACGAACGTTCACAGGTAGAAAGTGCCGAGTCGTCACACAGAGAACAGGAAGACTGACTACCTTGAGAGGGTTGTGGCACTGCCTCCGAAGCTTTGTCCCGGGGTAATATGCTAGGATTTTCAAGATGTTGTAACATTTTGTTCTCAACAGTCATATTTCCACAAAAGTCTTTAGTTTCAGTTACTTGAGATTTAATTTTGCCAGTGTAAATTTTAGTTTTTAATGCTTGTTGAGGGTTTAAGAAACTGCTGTTAGATTGAGATTCTTGGTTTTCGGGAGGGCTACTGCTTAGTATAATTTCATCAAATACTGTGTGGTACATTAAACTAGTCTCTCGTTCCTGACACTTTTCATGCTTTGGTTTATGGTACTCACCTAGTGTAACAGAATTCTGAAATTTGGAGACATAAGGTGAATCTTCTTGTCCATAAACATCAACTGAACCTAAAGAGATGCCAGAGCTACTTTCTAACCTAGCATGATTAGCTTCCGGACTGCCAGCGTGTTTACCTTCACAACCTGGATCTCTTAGCCCAACCACTTCCAGATCGGATACACTTGATGTTTTTGCTCTGTCAAAAGAGAAGTGGCTGCTCAGATATTCTTGCTCTTCCTCACTGGGATACTCCTGCTGCGAGTCTTCATCTCTGCCATGCTTCTGCACCTCTTCGGCGGTTTCTTTATAATCGTCATCTGAAATCTTGTAGCTTCCTTCTAAGCCAAGAATCTTACTATGTTCCAAAACATCAAAAAACAACTCCTCTCTTTCCTGCATTTCAGAAGCTAATTCTGAATTTAACAGAATAACATTTTCATTCCTTAGTTTTGACTCTGCATAAGGGACAGAGTATGTTTCATTCAAGAACACACAGTCGGCACTGTCTGCAAACTCCCGTGACCGAGGGCTGGCATGCTCTAGGCTGGCGCCTGCAGCTGCAGGAGGAGACGGCTGCAGTGACTGTGCTTGGTCAGTACTGCTCAAGTCTTTGTCATCAGCAATTTGATCTTGTGCCAAGGAATCCCAGTCGTCATCACGAAAAGTCAATTTGGCTTCATTATAACCACTGGAAGATGACAAATTTCCTTTCTTAGGATTAGAAGGCCCATCTGAGTTGGGGAAAAAAAAGGATAAAAATGTTAACAGCAGGGACATTACAGATTCTAAACAGCAGTAAAGGACTTAGATGTATTCTGGTCCAAGTTCTTCCCAATGCAGAAATACCTTCACATTACCCCCGAAAATACCCCTGGTGGTTGCCACGATGGACTGATTTGTGTCTCCCCCAAGACTCCCACGTGGGAGCCCGAACTTCCTACGTGACAGTAACTGGAGATGGGGCCTTCTGGGAGGCAGTCAGGGCTAGATGAGGTCATGGACACGGGCCCTCAAGATGGGGTAAGTGCCAGAGAGCTTGCTCTCTCTCTCTCCATCCTGTGAGGACACTGCAAGGCGCCAACCACAGGCCGGGCAGAGAGCCCTTACCAAAACCTGAGCGCACGGCACCCTGACTCAGACTTCCAGCCCCCAGAGCTGTAAAACAGAGGTGTCTGCTGTTTAAGCCCCCCCAGTCTGTGGTCTTTTGTTATGGTGGTCCCAGCTAAGACAGTGGCCACAGTTCTTCTCGAACTCTTTCAGTGGCAAGGAGTACCTGAGTGCCTGCTAGTTCCAGCTGTAGGCCTGTAGAAGCAAAGAGGACATGTGTGGTGCACCCCAATACTTGCGGCTCCCATAGGGGTCACAAATAGGAAAAGCAAACACAAATGCGATACAGGTAACGAGTGTCGACAGAGCTGTGATGATGAGCAAGTAAATGCTTGAGAGGAAAGGAGAGGCCAATTCCTGAATAAACCTTACGTTTAAAAAGTGTTTTGAGACACAAGAGTCACCCTAGGCGACTCAAACAGCACCTACAAAGTTGGCTGTGTGGAAGAACGTGGCAACTCCAGGACACCAGCAGCCACTGTGTCTGGAGTAGAACAGCTCCACGGGAACGACCACACTGTGAACAGCACAAGGGCCTGTAGTGACGTGCTAAGGGGTCTGGCTCTTGTTCTGAGGCTTCGGAGGACAGAGGTTGGACGCCGGGAGCCACAGGAAGAGCGGAGGCGTGAGGGGGGGCTGGAAGCAGTCAGACCGAGCGTGCAGACGCGGGACCGAGGAAGGCCCTGGTCTAGCAGCTCCACAACCGCCAAGACTTGGTGGCTGGTTAGAAATGGCAGAGAAGGGGGAAAAGATTAGTGGCTATATTTGAGAGCTGCTAATATTTATATGTTTATATAAGTATATATAATACATAAGAATATATTTTAACATATATACACATATATGTATTATTTTTTTGCCCAAGAACACAGTCAGAAACAAGTTTTATATCAAGATCCAGGAGACAGGACCTGTCTGGGTAGCTCAGTTGGTTAGAGCATCATCCCAACACACCAAAGTTGTAGGTTCAATCCTTGGTCAGGGCACATGCAATGCCCTCAATCAACCAATGAATGTATAAATAAGTGGAACAACAGGCATTTCTCTCTAAAATAAAGATCCAGTAAACAACATATATGTGTGTGAATTAGTGAAACAAATTTTACAAGACAGTAACTACTCCGACTATGTACAATGCATTCTGGCATTTTTTTTGTCTATTCATTTTATTAAAGAAAAGCTGATCTCAATCAGCTGAACTGGTTTCACGACTCACCAGTGGGCCACGACCTGCTTAAGCCTTGCTCTAACGTAATGGGAAGGGCTGCGACTTGGGTTTACAGTTGAATGGGAATGCCGGGAGCTACAGAACAGGGCCTTCCTGAAGAAGAGCGGATTTAGAAGAGAGGGGGAAAGCACGCGGGGAGGGGTAGAGGATAACGAGTTCATTTCCAGGCACGTGGAGTTTGAGGTGAGCAACAGAACGCCTGGATTCCAATTCCAATACAGCTGTTGTCAACCACTGTGCCCCAAGAGTTTTCAGAACATGCAATACCTGACTATTTAGTCAGCGCACTGACCTCTTTTCCCTTAAACTTGCAAAAAAAAATGACAACACCCAACAGAGCATTAACCTGTCTTGAACCATAAATCTATAGAACATAATAGAGATGCCAACTTATTGGTCATGTCTCAAAATAAGGTTGCATCTGATTGGTTAATCTCTGATACCAGAAATCCTCATATATATATATATATATATATATATATATATATATATATATATCCCTCAATTTTTAAAAAGTCACTTTGGAACAAAAAGGATAATTACTATTATTATTATTTTTTGGTAAATCAATCAAAATTATGCCTATTTTTTGTCATATTGGCAAAAATACTTTTTTTGCTGCAACATTTTAGTAATTAGCGTGTGTGTGCTGTGAGGTGACAAGGCTGAACAGAGCTGGTCTAGCAAGCTGTCGGAAGTAGGGGTTGGGGCCAAGAAGAGCAGCATTAGCTTCAATTACAGACTCATGGGTTGACTATATTTTTCTTAGAGGTTTGTATAGGTGTTCATTTTATATTCTGGATATTAATTTTTTGTTTTCCTTATTTATAATATGTAACTTTTTCCTAGTTTATTGCTTATCTTTTATTTTTTGTACTATTGTACTAGGGTTTTTACGGTTATTTAGTTAAATGGATCAGCCTTTTCTAGGTCTGTCTCTGCGGCCTTTCCCACCACATGATTACAAATTACTCTTTTATAACTTATTCCGTGTACTGTGCCTCACAGCCTTTCTATACTATGTAAATTTTTTTCCTTCCTACCATAAGGCAGTAATCTAACTTATTTTTCCTCCAAAATATATGGCCAATTATATTAATTCCATTTGCAGAATAATCCATTACTTCCCTTCTGACTTAAAATAGCATTAAAATTTTTTCTGAAGTTCACTTAATAGTTTAAGCCACAATCGATTATAAGCAAGTAAAATTTCGTCATCTTGCTCTTCCTGCTCTATTTAGTTTTTCTTCTACCGTTACTACAGAAAAGGAAATTTGGATGTGTGAAGACAAATTACATTTAACTTGGGTAGCAGAGGTCAACCTGCCCACTTTCCACTTAAGACAACGGCACCTGCCAGCAGTTCCCCAAGGCGTGTTCTCCTCTGGTTCCCCTTCTCTTCCCTAGATCTTCCGTCTCCCCGAAAGGTCCTATGTTGGCTGCCCGAATTCACAAAATCCCCTGAGTAGCAACACTGGAGGGGGAGCTGTCTAGTCCAATTCCATTCAGCACCTCTCTCTCCACCTAGAACAGAGCCACCTGGCCTGCCCCTTACCTCTGCGGACGCTTCCTCCATCGCTGCGGGCGCCGCTACCAGAAGCCGCCTCCACTGCAGTGGTGGCCTGCATCTCTTAAGAATGTATATTCTAGAAAAAGCATAAATATTGAACTATTATTACATTCAGAATTACATTAAAAATATTAGAAAAACAAGCATTTGACAAAGTGGCAATTGCAGTCAAAGATTCTAATGTAAGAGGACTAATAAACAAAATTGGTAGAACATTTGAATAACTTTTTAAAAGCGTGAACGGACTACTACATACAGCTGTACTACTGTATTTGAACACCCAAGACATGGCCTTTTGAAATTTCCAAGGAACACTAAAGAAAAAAAATACACAATATATTTGGCCACCAAAAAAATCACACCCCAATCAAAATGTCTCTAAAACAAACTACAGACTTACCAACAGCCAGTGACACGGCACACCCATACCTTCCAGCGATGGAAAGGAACAAACCACTGACACATGTAACTCTGTGGGTTAGTTTCAAAGCCAGAAAGCCAGACAAGAGACCACCTTACTTTATGGGAGGCACCCATCTGAAGGAGTGCACAGAAAAGCCAATTTATGGAGACGGAAAGTAGATTAGAACCCGCCTGGGGCAGGGTACGGGATGAGAGGACAACTGTGAATGGGCACAGGGGATCTCGTTGGAGGACGAACTTGTTCTAATACATCCGATGTGACAGCCGCGTTGCTTGATAAAGTTGCTACAACTACACTGTACCTCAATAAAAGTGTTTGAAGAATTAATGACGGCTCTCCGAACCCAGCCGCCACATGAGGGAGCCTAAGCCGGGTACCTGAGCTGGGCCTGGAGATCCCGGCGGCCACCCCCGAGGTCTGTCAGGGTCGCTGCCGTGCAAGGCCCGCCCAGGGGAAGGGCGGGAGCCTAGGCCGGGACAGGGCGCACCGCAGGGCGCAGTGTTTGCTGGGTGGGCCGGGACCCTCTCCTCCGTCCCCTCCAAGACCTTCAGGGTCCCTCCCAAGAGGGCGTCTGGGCAGAGCCTGGGGGCACGCTGGTGCTCCAGGTGGAGAGTCCGCGGGAATCACGACCCTGCAGCGCCGACCCCGGCCTGGCTGCAAGCAGGGGTCTGGGTGAGGGCTTTGAGGCAAAGGCCTGTCAGGCCCTGTGTCCCGTCTCAGGAGCTCGGCCACGGCTGACCGGGGGGAGCAGATCCAGGGCTGGGACAACGGGAGAGAGATTGGGGGTGTGGCGTGCGGTGAAGGAAGAACGGGAGCCACCTGGGGCTCTGGATCTACACCTGTGCTCACAGTAGAGGTGGGGACGAGGAGGCGGAAGGGTCTGGAAACCCACCATCCGCCAATGCGTGCCCAGAGCCAGCCCTGGGGCAGGCAGACAAGGGCGGGGTGAGAACCTGGGCGCACTCAGGGTGGGAGACCTGCAACCTTTCTGTTTACGACACAACGCTCCAACCAACTGGCTAGGATGATGAGTTCATTTTTATACATAATATGTTCTAAGTGCCTATAACATACCTAACTGGAAACACACAGTTGTGAACCATAGGATTTATCTGCACTGGAAGTATCTGATTCCAATTTAATGTTTCAAAAATTCCTTTTGGTTAATAATGGGGAAAATGGCCTAATAATATTTTTACTGCCATGAGTCTAGCTACAGATTAACCTTTGGGGTTATGAACTCTCTGCAGATTTGATAAAATCAGTTACTTCCCTGAGAAAATGCACAAATGCATATATCTTATGGATTTCTCTACCACATTTAGAAGTTTGAAGTTAGTTAAGTCCTGACCTAAGAGATTGTATTTACGTCAGTAATGGCCCTTCTCTAGGAATATCAGGTAAATATTTAAGATAAAGACTAAGATGAAAAGAAAGTTGGAATTTCTAGCAAAGATGGAGGTATACGAAGATATGCTTTGCTTCTTTGCACAACCAAAAGAAGGACAACAACAAATTCAAAGACAAAAACCAGCCAGAACTGCCAAAAAATCGTACTGTATGGAAGTCTGACGATGAAGGAGTTAGAGAAGAAACATTCGTCCAGTCTGGGAGGCGGGGTGGAGACGGGCAGCCCAGGTGGACAGGACACGCAGCAAGGCAGTGGAGCAGGCGGGTGAGGAGGCAGCGAGCAGAGCGGGCAGCCCCACATCTGCAAGTGGGAAAACCAGGAGGAACATCTGGGGAGCGAGACAGACCCCGCAACCCAGGGCTCTAGTGTGGGGACATAAAGCCTCAAAGCCTCTAAATGAAAAAACCTGTGGGGGACGAGGCGGCAGCGGGAGAAACCCCATTCCTGGGAAACACCCACCCAGGAATCAGCACCAGAAGGGCCCACTGTGCTTGTGGGTGGCGGGGGAAGCGACCGAGAGTGGGGTAAGAGCCGCAACAGTTTTTTGTTCCCTCTGGAACCCCTCCCCCACAGACAGCACCACAACACAGCTACGTGGGTTGCCCCCCTCTTGGCAAATACCTAAGGCTCTGCCCAAGAATGTAACAAGAGCTCCGAGACAAAGAAATATGGCCCAGATGAAAGATCAAAACTCCAGACAAAGAACTATGCAATGAAGAGACAGCCAACCTATCAGATGCAGAATCAAAACATTGGTAACCAGGATGCTCACAGAAATGATTGAGTATGGCCGCAAAATAGAGGAAGTAAAGGCTATACAACGTGAACTAAAGGAAAATATTCAAGGAACCAACAGTGACGGGGAGGAAACCAGAACTCAAATGAATGGTATGGAACAGAAGGAAGAATAAACATTCAACCAGAACGGAATGAAGAAACAAGAATTCAAAACAATGAGGAGAGGCTTAGGAACCTCCAGGACAACTTTAAACATTCCAACATCTGAATCATAGGGGTGCCATAAGGAGAAGAGGAAGAGCAATAAGTGGAAAAGTTATTTGAACAAATAATGAAGGAGAACTTCCCCAATCTGGCAAAGGAAACAGACTTCCAGGAAGTCCAGGAAGCTCAGAGAGTCCCAAAGAAGTTGGACTCTAGGAGGAACACACCAAGGCACATCATAATTACATCAACCAAAATTAAAATGAAGAAGAGAATCCTGGAAGCAGCAAGAGAAAAGGAGACAGTTACCTACAAACAAGTGCCCATCAGACTGTCAGCTGATTTCTCAAAAGAGACCTTACAGGCAAGAAGGGGCTGGAAAGAAGTATTCCAAGTCATGAAAGGCAAGGACCTACATCCAAGATGACTCTGTCCACCAAAGCTGTCATTTAGAATGGAAGGGCAGATAAAGTGCTTCCCAGATAAGGTCAAGTTAAAGGAGTTCATCACCACCAAGCTTGTATTACATGAAATGTTAAAGGCACTTATCTAAGAAAAAGAAGATAAAAAATATGAACAGTAAAATGACAACAGTCACAACTATCAACAACCAAACCTAAAAAAACAAAAACAAAAATAAACTGAGCAAACAACTAAAACATGAACAGAATCACAGAAATGGACATCACGTGGAGGGTTATCAGTGGGGACAAAGGGGAAAAGGCACAGGGAATAAGCATCAGTGGCAGGTACAAAGTAGACAGGGGGAGGTTAAGAATAGCACGAGAAATGGAGAAGCCAAGGAACTTGTGAGTACAACCCTTGGACATGAACTAAGGGAGTGGAGGATGTAGGGCAGAGGGAGATAAAGGGGAGAAAAAAACGGGACCACTATAATAGCATAACCAATAAAAGATACTTAAAAAAAAAAAAAGCCAGTCCATTAAAATAATTGACCTTAGGCTAGGTCAGTTTTTTTTTTTTTTTAACTTTTTGGACTCAGGAACTCTTCATGTTCTTACAAGTATTGGAAATCCTTAGAAGTATTCATTTATCAATAGCTACAATATAAAATATTAAAACAGAAAAATTTAAAAATTTGTTGGTTTATTCATATAAGATAAAAGTATAACAAACATTTTAAGTTAAAAAATATTTTCAAAAAAATAGTGAGAATGACATTTACACCCCACAAATCTCTTCGATTTGTGTCTTAACAAGCTGGACTGTGATTCATATCTGACTCTGCACCCCAATCTCCATTGAGTGTGCCGTAGGGTTCACATGAACAGTCAGTCAAGGTCAAAAGCTGCGACGAAAGGAAAGATGGCACTGTAACAAAGACACTCGCACATCACGTATCTGAAAAGGGTCTGCTGTCCGGAACATATAAGAATTCTTACAACCCAGCAAAGAGACATGCACTTCTTAAAACGCACGAGGGACTTGAACAGACACTTCTCCGAAGACACGCACGTGGCCGGCAGGCACACACAGCCCCACTGTTCCTCCGGGAAGCGCAGGCCGAACCGGGAACACCCTTGCAGGGCTGTCCGACCTCCGCTTGCGGGCGGCACGCAGCCCAGGACGGCCAGCACACAGCCCGACACGAAACTGGAGTTCACGCGAAACACGGTTTCTGGGTGACAGCGGGCTGTGATGGCCCGAGACAAGTCCTCTTGTCCCCGCGGGGCCCAGAGACACCCAGAGGCCCGCCCGCTCACGCCCCCTGGGGTGGCTGTGAAAGCGCGGGCGGCCGCGGACGGGCCCACTCTCGTCCAGGACGTCCCCTCCTCCCCGTCCACCAAACGACCCCCGGGCGCGCTCTCGGTCCCAGAACCGACCGGAAGCCACCGGCCTCCCGCGGGTCCGGTCGATCTCAACCCAGAACCCCGCGGCCCCCCGGCGGTAACGCCCCCCCCCCCCCAACGACCTTCCCAGGATGCCAGCCGCAGCACTTCCCCGCTCGCCGCTCGGCAACGCTGTCCCCGCCCTCTGGGCGGAGACTCAACCCCCGGAACGACCCGGGGGACCCTCCGCGAGCCGGGCTCCGCGCCCACCGCGGCCACGCGTGTCCCCCGCCCGCGCCCCGCGCCAACCGCCTTCAAAGCCCGCTCCGCCCCGATCCCGCCCGACACCCGCGTCTCAGGGCGGCGTCCCCGGCCCTCGGCGGCGCGAACGCCCGCCCCCCCCACCCGGCACCCGGCACCCGGCACCCGGGGCTGCACTAGTCAACGTCCCTCCCCCGCGGTGGCTGCGGCGTGCGCGCGCGCCCGCCCGC